GACTCTCCACCCTGAAGCCCCGGGACCTTATTGGGCAGTTCTCTAGATTGGTGTCCTTCTCTTGCGTCCAAAAAGTACGGCACCCCGTAAACTAAGAGCCCCCCAAAAGAAGAACCCCAATTTGGAGAACTACCCTTCTTCCAACCCTAGAAGCCCCGCCATAAACCCTGGCAACCCCCTGCAGCGCCGAAGGTCGACCGACCCATCTACCTGCCACCTCCTCCGCCCCCGGACACGGCAGCGTGGCAGGCGCTGCTTTGGGGGGTTTAGGGCTTAGGGCTCCTCGGAGTTAGGGGTTTAGGGTTTAGGGTTTAGGGTTCAGGGTTTAGGGTTTAGGGTTCAGGGTTTAGGGTTTAGGGTTTAGGGTTTAGGGTATTCCCGCGCTTCTCAAGACCCCTCCGAAGCAGGTGGCGTGCCGCGTGAGTGCGCAGCCAGAGGGGCGCTCGAGGATATTTCGGTGCTTCGTGTGCGACCTCCTGGAGGCCCGCCAGGAGGTTTAGGGTTTAGGGTTTAGGGTTCAGGATATGCAGGTTGCAATTTTTTTGGCTTTCAATGAGTTCAGGGCCTCTTCTCTCGCTCTCTATGTATGTTTTTTGTAATCATTTGGTCTTCGAAGCTGAATAAAAGGCTTAGTTTAGGCTTCAGGGCGTAGGGAAGGCGTGTTTTCAAACTAGCACTTAAGGCGCCTTCGATGGTCAGCCTTAGCTCCTCGTTACCCCTAAATTCTGGGCTTAGGTTCAAATCGGCCCCAAGCCCCAGAAAATCTCCCTCAAACCCCTCCAAGACCCTCCAACAAAGTGCTAGACCTGAAGCCCTCAACCACACCCCCCCCACCCCCCCCGAAATCAACCCCTCAACCTCTAACCCTAAACCCCCAAACCCCCATATCCCTTAACGTCTAGACGTCCGCATCCCCAAAGTCTAAACGCCCGGAAGCCCCAAGGTCGCGCCACCTGGTCAGGGCCCTGGTCAGATGCTTGCAGAGCCGCGGGTTCAGGGCGGTTCTTTCAGGGGTTTTAGATGGGGTTGAGGGGTTTAGGGGTTGCAAGTTTGGGCTTAGGGGTGGGTTGAGGGGTTCGGGGTTTAGGGTTTCAAGTTTCGGGGCTTTGGGGGGGTTTGGGTTTTCGGGACTGGGGTTTGGGGTTCAAGGTTTGAGGCTTCGGGATTCGGGTGCCTTTACAAGTTTTCGGGTTGGGCAAGTATAGTGAATAGTGTCTTGAGGATGTTGTTGTGCAGGTTCCAGCGTTTCGGGCTGCAATAGGCGGGGCCTTTCGGCGGGGAGGGCTAAACCCTGAGCCCTAACCCCAAATGTATACATATATATATATATATGTATATATTATTATCGCTTAGGGATCGCGGAAGAGGGGGCTTCTTTCAGTCCTGGTATTGGACGTTGGGTTCAAAGTTCCGCAAATAAAGTTTGGGTCTGGCCAGCTTTCTACCCTACCTGGAGTGCTTAACCCTAAACCCGAAACCCTACCCCTAAACCCTAAACCCCAAAGCCCTAACAAAGTCAAGGCCCAGAACCGCAGCACTTCCGCCGGCGCTGGACTAGACCGCTGCGGCCCCGATTCATTTCACAGCCGGCTTAGGGTGTAGGTGTCGGGTGAACTGTTAGTTTTGTTTTGTATAATATTGTTTTTTTGAGACATATATATATATACACATGGCTACAGAATCAGTTGTGTATATATGCATATATATATATATATGTATATATATATATAATACATATGTATATGCTTGCGGTTGTTTTTTGGTTGGCGTTAATAGGGCTTGTTTAGAGCCCCTGGACACATTCCTAGCCCTCTGCACCCTTAATGAAGCCTAAGTTGGGTTTGGGGTTTAGGGTTCAGGGTTCAGGGTTTAGGGTTATAGGGTTATAGGGTTATAGGGTTTAGGGTTTAGGGCGGAACTTCCCCCATGATTCTATGCAACCATCAAGACGATATCGTGGGCAAATGGAGGTATGCTGTCCCTTATGGGCCTTGCTAGTGCGAGACACCTTCTGCCCCAGGGTTCGGCAAGATACGTATTATCCAAACAGGGGCTTCATCTAGAACAACAGCCAAGTACTTCTGAAGTGGCAGGGTCGTTGTGGGTGTTTTGTTGCAAAAGACTTCACGCGCGGCCTATCCGATCACAAGCTCAGTCGCAGTAATTCCTTTTGAGCTCCTCGCTGGCGCGTTGAAGTAGGAGCATGTTCAAGAAATAAGTAGGGTTTAGGGTTTAGGGTTTAGGGTTTAGGGTTTAGGGTTTAGGGTTTAGGGTTTAGGGTTTAATTAGGGTTTAGGGTTTAGGGTTTAGGGTTTGGGGCCCTTCCGAGACCCATTCCGACATGGCAGGCTTCCCACAAGGAACCCCTGGAAGGGACTCCGAATGTTCGGACACCCCATCTAAAATTGGGGCTGTTCAAAACCAAACCCCAAACCCTAAACCCCCAACTCTAAACCCTAAACCCTAAACCCTAAACCCCAAACCCCAAACCCTAAACCCTAAACCCTAGGATCATGGGGGGCGGGGACCTTTTTTGAAGCCCAGGTGCCCAGAGTGTCCTCACTTCGCACACCGCTCTTGCTTGGAGAGAAGGTTGCTGGAGCTGGAGACAGGCGAGGGCGGGGACTTTCGGGACTTTAAGGGCTTTCAGGGCTTTAAGGTGTTTTAAGGTGTTTTAAGGGCTTTAAGGGTGTCAGGGTCCAAGGGTTTTAAGAGGTTTAAGGATTGAGGGTGTAAGCTGGAGACAGGCTGGCGGGGGCGGCGCTGGCAGCGCTTTAAGGGTGTAAGGCTCTCAGGGTCTAAGGGTTTTGGGGTCCAAAGGGGATGTAGGGTCTAAGGGCTTAAGAGTTCAGGCCTTAAGGAGGCTTTAAGGACTTAAAGGCTTAGGGTTTCTAGGGGCTCTTGGGAGGCAGGGTGGGTCGCGGGCGAAGTTTTGTCTCCTTGGTTTGCCCGGACTTCTGGATCTTAACGGCAGTGTTAACGTCACCTCCCGAAACCCCAAACCCCAATTAAAGCCTGAACAGCAGCCAGCTATTTCCGCGCCTTTTGCTCAAAGCTTCCATGCCCTCCTGCAGGCTTTAAGGATTAGGCTCAAGGCTGGGGGTTCAAAGACTTAGGGCTTAGGGTCTCGAGGCTTTGGGGTCTACGAGGGGTTTGGGCTTCCAGGGCTGAATGGGTGCATCTCTCAAAGACACAAAGATCTCAAAACCCTTGCCATGCACACCTTCAACCCCCACGCTGAACCCTCAACCCTCAACCCTCAACCCTAAACCCTAAACCCTAAGCCCTAAACCCTAAACCCTAAACCCTAGACCCTAAGCCCTAAGCCCTAAGCCCTAGACCCTAGCCGTTTTCTTCTTGCAGCCGAGCCATGGGCCAGCTGGAAGCGTGCGTCAAGAAGCGCACGGGAGCGCGAGAGCAAGCATCTTTTGGGTTTCGGGTTGAGGGTTTAGGGTTTAGGGTTTGGGGTTTAGGGTTTAGGGTTCAGGGCTTGGGGGAGACGGCATTGGGGTCTAGCAGTCGTGGCCCTCGAGCTGTGTAGCCTTCGACCTTTGCAGATTCTGGCGCACTCTGACACTCTAAGGCTTGACCCGCAAGTCATGTCTCCACTGTGTTCAGTCTCGCGTGTGGCACAAGCTTCGGTTAATTACTACAATAGGCCCTGACTGGGTCGCAAGGTTAGGGTTGTGGTCGTGTAATTGACTGAGTTGTGCTGAGAAACACCTTTACGTAAAATGTGTTGTTCAGTTATCACTTTTATCAAGCAAGACCAAGATTCTACAGGACCCCCGACACCACAACCCAGGATTGAGTTCCTGACCTGCACATTTCAGGAGGCAAGCAGCGACCCTCGGTCACTCCGAAGCCATGGCACGGTCGAGGCGTTGGCGTTAGCGGTTCAGCCGGGGCCAAGTAGTGCTCGGGGTTTCGAGTTTTGGGTCTGCGGACTTTTCAAAGAATCGCGTGTTTTGGGAATTGGCGTCTACGGTACCTTGCTGCCACTTTGTAGGATTTCCACGTATGCCCCCCCCAAAAAAAACTAAACCCTGAACCCTCAACTCCAAACCCTCAGGTTCTTAAGTCCTGGATGTCAGGCAGAGAGCCATCTGAACAGCGCCACCCTCAACCCTAAGCCTGTAGTAGCCGTGTTTGCCCCACACTCAAGCGACAATGCTCGAAATCCTAAAGCCTAAGCTGCCCAATGCACAAACATTGACGCATCACAGGCGGCTGGGTCTGGTGAGGGGGTTTAGGGCTTAGGGCTTAGGGCGTAGTGTGTAGTGTTCTGGGTGCTTCAAATCGAGGTGGGCTTTCCTGGGCTTTCTGGCGGCCATACCTTTCCTCGCCCGGTCAGAGGCTGATGCGTCACAGCGAAGACGGTTGTGGTGAAGGTCGTTAGGATGTCGGACGGAGGTTTTTGTTTTTCATTTTTCGCAGGCTTTACTATGGGGCAACATGAATCGACAAATGCTCCAATCTCAAAGGAACCCTGAACCCTAAGCCCTAAACGACCCACGACGAATGGAGGTCTCGGACCCAAACCGCAGAGACTCTTCGGGGCGCTGCTTAAGGGATCGTCGGTAAGCAGGGGCGTTTTGTTTTGTAGGATCTTTTTTTGATTTTTTCTTCCCTGGAGGAAGCCCTCGTAGACCGCAGTATGCCAGGTACTCGTACCCTTGATCTGTTATCGACGTTATCGAATGATACTGGGCCTGAAAATCGAGAACCTCTACGACACCCTGGGAGAAACACATGCTGAACACCCTTAAACCTAAGCTGAGTCTCTGAGCAGCTCGAAAAAATGCATAGCTCCCCTTCCAGGGTCCCTTATAAGAGTTATACGGGCATATTGTTCGGAGGGTTCTGCAAACCTCCTCAAAAAAGCCAGGCAACTCAGGCAGTGAGTCAACTCTTGCATGGGGGCTAACCCTGAATCTGGCCGTGAACTCTGAACCGCATCTTAAGTACTGGCGGGTGGCAACCTAGCCGAGGCATCCTGCATGGTGCCGCACCCCAGCCACTCGTCGAAACACCTTGGTGTTTCGTTATTCTGGAAGCTCTGCAGTAGAGAGGGCTTACAGGGTTTAAGGCTGGTCCAGGCATCATCTTCAGATACCAAGCTGTTTCTGTTTAATCCCTAGAACAGGCAAAAGCATCCCACAGATATGCCCCCGAAAGTGCTTATCATCATCCGCGCCGCCCAGGCAATGAGAACTGGACATTGGAGGGCGCCGAACTACAGCACCTCCTCCACACATGCCAATAGGGGGGTTTGTGGACTAGAAACCCATTATGCCTCGGGGTCCGATAAAGGAGTAGGGAGGCCTCCTTGCACAGGAGCCACGGTAGAAGCTACAAAGCATCTGCGAAACAGAATTCGAGTCATGGCTTACAGCTTGCAATTTGTCGAGCAGAGCGGTATGCTACAGCCTGAGACAAACCCACACAGGTACAAGCTGAGAAGATTCTACGATGGAGTTGGCCCGCCACCATTGGAGGACCAGTGCGGGACTTGATCTCATTTGCTCTCGGGCTGCGTATTCTCGTAATCCACCTGGCAGACGTCCAGCGGTCCAGTCTGCCCAACGCAAACCGTTTCTTGCCTACGCGGTGCGCCCCTGATCCTCGGTACCAAACCCTAAACCTTTTGTTGTATACTTGTGGCAGAAACCTGCCATTGAAACTCCTCGGAAGTAGATCGCCGTGCAACCACGATTCAGCAAAGCTTCCCCACTTGAAACCGAGACAAGGTGTCTCTAAGCACAAGCCTCTGCAGAACTCTAAACCCTAAACCCTAAACCCCAAGTTCAAGACCCTAAACCCTAAACCTCCTTGGCAAGGAAGTGTTCGTGTCCACGCAGAACCTGACGAGGGAGGTGCAGGCGCGCACGCGCACGCCTTGGGTGAGTCCGGTGGGGTATGGCTGCCATTTAGGGTTTAGGGCTTAGGGTTTAGGGTTTTGGGTTTTGGGTTTTGGGTTTAGGGTTTAGGGGGTGTTTCCTAGCATGATGCCCCTTAAGGAACCCTCTGAAAGAAAAGCAATTCTGATGTTTCTTACACAACTCCTATGTTCAAGTCGAGGGTCTCGCAGAAGGAAGCCTCCGAGTTCCGCCAAGCGCCAAGCCCAAAACGAACCCGCCTAAACCCTGACCAACTAAACCCGTAAACCCCTAGGCCCCTAAGCCCCTAAGCCCCTAAACCCTAAACCTCAAAGCCTCTAAAACCCCCCAAACCCCTGAACCCTAAACCCCAAACCCCTAAACCCTAAACCCCGAAGCCCTAAACCCCTGTCAGGACACCCTGATGGCGGAATGCCCCGGCCTGTTGATCAACGCGCCGCCCGGCTCCAGGGGCCTCTTGGGAGGTCTGTGGAGTGTGGGTTCAGGGTTTAGGCTTTTGTGGGTTTAGGGTTTAGGGTTTAGGGTTTAGGGTTTAGGGTTGAGAGTGAGGAAGCTCAGAGCTTGAAGGAGTGGGGAAGGGTCATCCTGCATCTGAACTCACTAAGTCTGTAGCCATTAGCCAGCTCACGTAGTCCGGCGACCACTGGAACACAATTGTAAAGCCCACACTGACCTCTACATTAAGTAGTGCTCATGAACTTTGTAATTATGTGCGGGATATTCGGGCACTTTCTCTGAACTTTATACTTGAAGGATCTTGATGGTTTAGAGGTAGATATACATGCGGCGTAATTTCATGGGGGGGGGTTACCTGAACAAAGGTTACGCCTATACCAAAAACAAACTTTTCCAAAACCAAGCATATTTCCTGTGGCTAAATCCAGCCCCAGGTATTTATATTTAACCCTAAACCCTGAACTGTTAGGTAAGAGATGCCAAGGTTCCTGGTGCTGGCAGAGTCGCAGCTGCCCATTTCAGAGAGGCGTTCAGGCGACGCCTTCGCCAAGGCCGGATTCTTGGACCCTACGCACTTTCGTATAGGCGTTCGGGGTTTGGAGGGGCTTAGGTTTCTGGGTTTAGGGTTGGGGGCTTAGGGGCTTCGGGGTTTAGGGCGTGAGGGTTTTAGGTGGTTTCAGGCTCGGTGCTTTGGGTCTGTGGACGTCCATGTTTGGCAAGACGGCAGGATTTGGTGGTGCGGGACTCGTGGCTTTGTAGAGGGTTGGTTCAGGGCTTAAGGTTCAGGGTTTAGGGTTTAGGGTTTAGGGTTCAGGGTTCAGGGTTTAGGGTTTCGGGCTTCGGGTTCAGGGTTCAGAGTTTAGGGTTTAGGGTTTCGGGCTTAGGGGCTGGGAGCTGACAGTTCCGGAGCCGTTGCCAGGCAGATGCGCTTTCCTCCCGCCTCTCCGCAGCCGAGTTGGAGGTCGCTTTGACTAGATCAGTGTTAGGGATCCTTTTTACTTTTTGGGTTATGGGCTTTCTTGTATTTGAACAAAAAGGATCCTTTTTTCTTCCTAGGGGAACAGGGATTAAGTGAAGTGCAACCCCCAGCCTCAGCCAAGCCCCACCCATTCGTTCATTTGATTCCTCCCCCCTTTTACGGTCCAATTAAGTCCACCCCCCCCCCCCCCCCCCCCGCGCATTAATTGAGGGTTTCTGGGTAAGGTTCATGCATGGTTACGAGGTAAGGTGTATGACAAGGACATGTACCCTTAATGAGGTTACAACCGTAGTTACCATACTTGTAACCCTACTTGTTGCTACCCGTACATGAAGCTGAGAGTGTCTTCAACTGCGACCTAGAATCACAAGACCCACAAAAGGCGCCCAGTTCAAGAAGGTTCGGGTTTCGAGTTTATTGTCGGGTTTAGGGCTCAGGGTGGCCTGGAGACCTTCATCATTCGATTCTTCAGGCTTCTAAGCTGCCCAAAAGAAAATAGAGACCGGCACCTAAACCTCAAACCCGAAGCCCTTAACCCCGAAACCCTACATAAGCTCCCAGCCCCCTCCTCGCCTTGAAGCCGTCCTTCGCCTTGGGGCCCCCCAACTCCTAAGCCCCCAAACCCTAAGCCCCAAACCCTAAGCCCTAGACCTAAACCCTAAACCCTGAGCCCTAAACCCTAGCCCTAAACCCTAAGCCCTAAGCCCCAAACCCTCTACCGCCCCCCAAACAAAAAGCCAGTCGCAAGGCGGAGTCCGAAGTCTGGCCCATCCAGGAGACTGCGCTCCGCAGCCTTAAACTCCTGAAGGTCGCCTTAAGGGTTAAGGGTTTAGGTTTAGGGTTTAGGGTTAGGGTTTCGGGTTTTGGGTTTTGGGTTAGGGTCTAGGGTTTCGGGTTTAGGGTTTAGGGTTTAGGAGAAGAGCAGGCCCTTACTCCCTTCTCAGGAATGGTTCCCTTCTGAGCACTTTTACACCAAAGAAGGGCACCCTTGCAGTTTCCTACTGTAGGCTACTCTTGGGTGTGCTTGAAGGCTGCTCTAAGGCGCATGACAGCGTTTAAAGGGCAAGGGAGTGGTATTTAAGGGCTTTTTCAAGAGGGCTTCGGGGTTCCTGCCCTAAACACTATGCGCCTAAACCCTGAACTCTACACTTCAAAGCTGTCCCAGGAGGCCATCGCCAGCTTCATGCGGGCTTCGCAGCTGAGCTTGACTCGGCTCCTAAAACTCATCCACCGAAGCCTCAGCACTCAAAGCTCTCAGCGCCCCCAAAGGCCTCAACCATACACACCCTTACCAGCCTCAAAGCCTTGGATTCAAAACTTCGGGTTATGGCTGTGTTCAGGCATCTGACCCTAGGCCTCTTGCAGTCTCTAATATACCTAAGTAGCCCTAAACCCTAAACCCTAAACCCAAGTTGCCAGATGAAACTTCCAGGCGACTTGAGGCCCCCAAGTGTAGGGGCCGACGTGGGTTTAACACTTCAAGACAAGGCAGCAGATGGAAGCCACACGCGCCGCGCTCCCGGAACAGCCAAAGGCGCCGCTGCAAAATGCTTGGACTTTCGGCTTTGGGGGCTGTGGGGGCTTTGGGGGGGGCTTTGGGGGGCTTTGGGGCCTCTGGGGGCTTATAGGATTTAGGGTGCTGCTGAGCTAGAATGCGGACACGCTTTCGGTAGTTATCTTATGTTTTCCTGTTTGTTCAGGGTACCATGAACGCGGATCCAATGCTGCAGATCAACTCTCATTTAGAATTCCTTGAAAAATGAGGGGTATTGCCAAAAATTCCCGGGACCCTCAACTGCCTAAGCCCCAGGAGCCGCCAGGCCCGACTTGTACGTGGCCAGTTCTCCCAGTTAAAGTCCCTGTTCTCAACCCCAAACCCCAAACCCTAAACCCTAAACCCCCAAACCCTAAACCCTAAACCCTAAACCCTAAACCCGAAACCCTAAACCCTTAAATACCGCCAAGAACCGGACCATCCCTTTCGCCCACCTCGTCATCTGGACTCAGGTGCACCTCGTCGTGTGCCACTGCCGGGAGTCATTGGACTGGCTGAATGGGCCCAGCTTCTACATGCCCAGGGCGGGCACGGCAGCACTGGAGGTGCCCAGGCTTGGTTTATTTTGGATTTGGGGTTTGGGGTTTGGGGTTTAGGGTTTGGGGTTTAGGGTTAGGGTTTAGGGTTTAGGGTTTAGGGTTGTGGGCGGATTTGGGCAGAATTGGGTTTTAGAGGGCCTAGCCGGGTTTAGGGTTTAGGGATGTGAAAGAGATGAAATCTGCAACCCGCAGCACATGTCTCGGCAACAGCAACTTCGAAATACCCTCCTCACTGTGTGTGACGCAGTGAACACCCCAAAACTTGGGACATAGCCGAGGTTTAGGGCGTAGATTTTGGGATCTAATGAGGGATAAGGGTGTAGGGATCTCGGGTTTAGGGGCGTAGGGTTGCTCCAGGTCTTCATTTACGAGAAGTGCAACTATGACACCGACACCTCGGAGATCTCCGCCAGCTTCGCTGGCGTGCACCGCGTCCTCGTGGACGACGAGGCAGGGTTCGAGGCTTCCGCATGGGTTCGAATGCGATGAGGGGTACCCGTTGTCCCGTATGTTACTAGTAGGGCTAGGTGCCACAGGTCCTGGACCCAAGGAGTTCCTCTCTACATGGGACTGGAGTTGGGGAGATTCTCCGAGTGCTGGGCACGAAGCCTCAATAGGGCAAGCACAAGAAGCCCTACAAACCCTGCAAACCCTAATTGAAATCCTTGGGGGAGACCATAGTTACTGAGATGTGGTTGGCGGCAATTGCGGAAACGACACAAGCTTGCAGTTTTTTTTTGCGCACCTTAAATGGACATAACTGTAGTTATGTACTTCCAGCCCTGGTTACATAAACCTCCGACAAGGGTTGTGAGCCCAGAGTGTGGTTAAGAGGCTCATTCAGCATTTAGGGTTGAGGGCCGTCTAGGTATCCCGAGTGCCCCTACTGCAAGCCCGCAGCAGTGAGCACAACCTAGAGGACCTAGAGCGCAAACGTGCGCCCCTTTCAGCACCCCAAACCCTAAAATTCCTAAACCCCTCGGCCCCAAAGCCTCAAGCCTAAACCCTAACCCTGAACTCCAACGGGGCTGCCCCAAACTCCAAAACCCCTAAGCCCCCAAACCCTACTTTTCTAAGCCTGCAGACCCCCCTGAAACCCAAAAAGGGCCTACGACGCGATGAGTGCTCCGGATACCTGAAGCACCTCATCGAGCACTACGACGCCACCTGGCGGTGCGCAAAGGATGAGAATGGTTTGGGGTTTAGGGTTTTAGGCTTTTGGGGCTTAGGGCTTAGGGCTTAAGGTCAGGAACTGTTTCGGGTTTTTCGGGTAGGGCCTTGCTTCATGGGGTTATGAGGGCTTAGGGCACTCCAGCTCCATACTCCTGGAAGGAATTCTGTAATTGTTTAGCTCCTAAACCTACATCTTTACATGAACAGGCTTTGACGTTTTCAAGTTCTGTGGCCCTACTCCCTACTATAACCCATAGAAATGGTTGCAAGTACTTCAAACAGGGCGGCAGCCCTCTTTCACTATAGGTACTCTACTTATTTCCACTGCCAGTTACCACTACCGATGAACCTCTAAGTAGTCTATGAGGCAGTAACTCCACCACTGCTTTGGCGAGCGTATGTATTTATATTTATATATATATATATGTATATTTTTTATTTATTTATTTATTTATTTGTTTATATTTATTTATGGATCTATATATGGGCTGGGTACATAGTTTTGTGCATACTAGCAATAGTAAGAAAATCCACAGTAGGGACATGCCGGTTTCGGGCGAAACCCGCTCAAAGTCTGGATTGGCCCATTCGATCTTCCGGCGAGTTTTTCTGAAAGTCTACACGGTTTAGGACTTACGGTTTAGGGTTTAGGGTGTAGGGTTTAGGGTTTAGGGTTTAGGGCTTCCCGACACCCTAAACCCTAAAGCCGTTGTAAAGGCTTCCCATTCGGGTTGAGGTGGGTCCACTGACTGCGCATCAAAGCACTTTTTGGGCCGTGCGCTCCAATCAAGGACCCGGCAGACTACACCCTGTTTTTCCAAGCAGATGCTGCAGACCACATGCACTGGGGCTGCTGGGCTGCTTTTGGGATAGTTCTCGAAATTAGGGTCCCTTTTGGGGATCCTTTTTTAACGGGTGCCGTTCTATATAGACAGGGTCCCCTGGCCCCAGGAGAGTATCGTATTTTGCAAGTTCGTACGTCTAGAAAGGGCCCACTGTGGCGTACCGGAGCTCCGTTGCGCCGGACAGGTTTCCCAATTTGGGGACTTCGGATGACTCTACCAGTAGAAAAAGTTTAGGGTTGTAGAGTGCTTGGGGTATTGGGGGTCCAGTGCTTTAGGGTTTAAGGGCTTTAGGGTTTTTTGGTTTGGGGTGTTTAGGGGTGTTTGGGGGATTTTGGGTCGTGCCTTGTCTGGTGCTAATCCTGAACCCTAAACCCTAAACCTTAAACCCGAAACCCTAAACCCTAAACCCTAAGCCCCAAACCTTCTTGGGTAAATTCTCAAGACGGAGACTCTACAGGCTATCTGTCCTTGGTCACGAAGGCCATCGAGCAGCGCTCGCTGGCGCAGCTGAGCCGCAAGTGCTGGGGACCGGCAGAGCTGTGATCTGCAAAGGTTAATAGTACTAAAACCCAAAAAGAGAGAACCCTAAAAACCCTAAACCCTGAACCCCTAAAACCCCCAACCGCCTTGTAAAGGTTGATATGGTTCTAGGGGTCTCGCAGTTTAGGGTTTTCTTGCCGAAGGCCTGAGGATTTGTTTTTGGCGTTAACCGCCTTAGTTTTGGTCCCGGGGGGCCGTGGGGGTGAACTGTAGGACGAACCCCTAAGCCCTGGACCCTACATCCTAAACCCGAAACCCTACGATATAAGCCTCTCTGAGTTTTTTTTTGAGGGGGAGCTGAGGACTCCTTTTGTCCACCTCAACTACCCACGGCTCATCACCTCGATGTCCCCCTGCCGAGCGGCCGCACCCCGGCGGCTTGGGTGTCGGGCTTAGGGGTGAGGTTTTGTTTTTAGGGTTTAGGGTTTACCCGAAACCCTAAAGCTCAGGGGGTTACCGGCTTTACTGGGTTTTCTGGAGTTTACAGTTGGTTGGTTGGTTTAGGAGCAAACCACGCGTCCCCAACCCCATCCCAGACCCTCCCTAGAGCCCCCTCCCCGAAAAGAGACTTATAAAGGGCAACAAAGCTGTAATCTCTTAAGGGCTTCAGTGAAAGAGGATCGGCCATAGTGGTTCACGGAGTTTGGAGGGTTGGGCTGGGGCTCTTCGCCGCCTGCGCATGAGGGCTCGCGATCGCGATACAGTGGGCACCACGCAGGGTCACTTGTGTTTAGGATTCGGGGTAGCCTAGGACGCGCAGTAGGCCCTTATTTCCTTTTTTGGGGGCTTGGGGTTCCCTTGTGATCCCCTGAAACACCAAAAAGGGCACCCTTTTTATTCCTAGGTTACTCCTGGGTCTAGTAGCTTCTCTAGACTCATCGCCAGCCCCAAGCTTTATGCGGCTAAGCCCCATCAGGTCTTTGCTCAGATTTTCGATCGGCCTCCGAAACAGAGCCTTGTCCGGCAAAAAAGGGTTTAGGGGTGTTTAGGGTTTAGATCTCGGAGCCGAATCCCCTTAGCTAAAGCCACCCCGCCAGAGTTGCCCTAGGCCGGGGGAGGGGGGGGGTTGATCTGAAGGTCCTTCTTGGGGAACTCAGTAGGTTTCCTTGGGGCCGCGGGGGTTGATCTGACGGGAGCATGTTCCGGCGTTTGTGGCGAGGATTCGCGAAGAGCTTGCCACGAATGCAACCTGACAGTTTGGCACTCGTCGACTCTTCTTTGCCCAACCCCGTTGACTACGTACATTCTCTTCAACCCTAAACTCTCCAACTCTACTTGAACTTGATTGAACCCCAGAGTTAAGCCTGTACAGTTCAAGCCGCCCCAGACTCAAACCCGAGACTTAAACCCTGGTGAAACCCACAAGCCTCAGTCAACTCCCCAAGTCCCTCTTTGCCCGGCCCTGGACCCTAACCCTACCCCAAGCCTGGTGGAGCCTCGCCCTTTCCAATACTCCTGAACACCCTAAGCACAGAACTCAATCCCCGCCCTAAGCACAGAACTGTGGGGGCTTCGGGTTTAGGGGTTTAGGGGGTTAGGGTTGAGGGCTTAAAGCCCTAAACCCTAAACCCTAAACCCACTGAGGGTTTAGGGTTGAAGGCTCACGGCTTTAGGCCTTAGGGTTTGGGGGTTAGGGTTTAGGGTTTAGGGGTTAGGGTTTAGGGTTTAGGGTGGTCCTTGTGGCCAACCTGCTCAGGAAACTGGGCTCCTATTGCTGCGCGCAGTTTCTGGTTTCGCGAGAGCGCATCCTTGCAAATCCTTTGGAGAGGCGGGGGGGCAGGGCTTTGGGGTTTAGAGGTTTAGGGGTTTAGGGGGAGGTTGAAGGAGGTTTGTAGCTGTTCCTAAACCCTGAAGGAGGTTTGGAGGTTCCTGAAACCCTGAAACACCCTAAGCCCGAAGCTCTGAGCTCTCAACACTAAGCCCCGAAGGCCGTCTGAGCTTCACAGATTCTAGTTTTTATGGGGTTGATCCCTAAACCCTAAACCCCAAACCCTAAACCATCAACCCTACACACGATCACCTCAGCAGCTTGTTCAATTGCATCGGGCGTCGGGAGTGTGGCTCTTGGTCTCCTTGACCTCCACGAAGGCATCAAAGCTTCATAGGGGTTCTTACGGGACGGGGGCTTCAAGTGGGGTAGGTACCGAGGAAACCTTAGGGAAGCTCAGGGAGCCTTCGGGAGTAGTAGGGAGTATTCGGGAGCCTTGGGTTACATGCCCCCCTTGAGGAACCCTATAAAAGCTGCAAAGCCCTAAAGCCTGTAGGCCCTAATCCCTACATCTAGGGTTGGAGCCATGGGCCCTTCGTATGGCCCCCTCACCCTTGTGTATAGTGTTGAAAAGGTTACATAACAGGGGACCCAAATTAAGCGCCCGTACTTCGGATCCCCTACTAAAGCCCATAAACGCAAGAGGCCCTTCTAAGCCCGCAAGTAAACACTAAGCGGGTCAAGGCACATGTGACATGGGGCGTGCTAGTAGACGAGACTCTTTAAAGACAAGTTCTCCTCTCCTAAGAATCTTGTACACACGCCTTTAAATCAGTTCTATACGCAACATCAGCGGGTTTAGGTTGTTAAGCCCCGAAACCTTGTACGGACACACCTCCTTGAAGGTTCATGATTATTTAGAAGAAGCGTCTATAAGTATGGTAACAATCGTTATAACCCTTATCTAGGGTCATTAGAACCCTACTTGTCAGCAGCCACGAACCTCCAATCTGGCTGGTTCTTTGTCGCGAATGAGGGAATGAGGTACCCTATAGAATCCCTTAAAGGGGTTTACGACAACAGGGGACTCTAAATATAGACCCCCAAATAGTAGGATTCTTTTTCATAAGGACCCCAATAAGGTACTTCTTTTATCGGAAACCCCCCACATAGGGCCCTCATCCCCTCATTCTCAGTATGAGAACCAGCGGCCCAAGTGCAGGTACGAGCGAATGCAGCGGATGCTGTTCAGCGATTCGCCGCCTGAGTGCCTGGGGGGTGGACTTGGAGTCCCTGAACCTCCCAGCTAAACCCTAAACCCTACACCTAGATCAGTGTTAGGGATCCTTTTTACTTTTTGGGTTATGGGCTTTCTTGTATTTGAACAAAAAGGATCCTTTTTTCTTCCTAGGGGAACAGGGATTAAGACACCCAACACCCTACACCCTGCAGACCCTAGACCCTAGACTTCGGAACCTGGGCCTTCGACCCCCGAAAGCAAAAGAGTGCGAATGCTGGTTTGGTTCGTACGAAGACCCGAAGACGGCAACAGAAAATAGCAGGTTCCCGCGAATCCTATCACTTCTGCCTCTCAGAGGTGCCACGATATCCCCGGGCATTCCACCCTGCGCCCTGGGCGGCAGAAGAATTGCGAGGGTTCTGTTCCCAGGTTTAGGGTTTAGGGTTTAGGGTTTAGGGTTTAGGGTTTAGGGTTTAGGGTTTGCCGGGTTTAGGGTTTAGGGGGCTCCGGGGCTTCGATGGTTTATTCCTTACGGTGTCCGGGGCTTAATTTCATGGACGCAACAATCAGCAGCCCCCCCCCCCCCCAAAAAAAAAAAAAAAGTAAAGAGCGTTGGCCCTGGCACGCGCCTTAGCATGGAGAGAGAGAGAGAGAGAGGGAGAGAGATATATCTATATATATATATACGTAAGAGGGACCTCCATGTATAATGTGACGTGGCTCCTTTCTGTATTAAAAGTGTTAATAGTTTAAACTTTCAAAAAGCCTACCCGACTATTATAGCTATTAGCATGCGCGAAGTTCTGTTCTGCTCAAAAACTGTTTCACCCCGCTCCTTTTGTTGTTGCTTGCACGCCTAAGGTCAGCAGTTTTGGACTTGAACACAAGAGTAAATGCTATCCATTTTGCTAGCTGCTTTGAGGCGACATGGGCAAGAACAGCGTCCCGCCGCATACGAAGTGAACGAAGAATAGGCGAGCTATGGCTCCGCTCTCATTTTTTCTTTCAGCAGGTGCGAACCTGCATGTTGACATCTTGCAGTTAAGGAATTCCAACAGCAGCTGAAGCAGAACCAGCAGGAACAGGCCATGCGCATCTATATAGGTGCTTCTACAAAGGTTAAGCATTAGTGCTGATTTGCTAGTCCACGCCGTCGGCTTCGTCTACCGCACAGGCAATGCTCATGTTCTTGCTTTAAGAAATTTAATACCTTTATGCTGAAGGCCAAACCCATCTTGACCGTCAAGAAGCCGAAGAAAAAGGTGCCCTTCGCCATGACGAAGGCTGACCTATTCACATGTTGATGCTTGTTCGTCTTGTTTGTCTCCTCAGGTAACGCCCATGGCCTCCTACCGCGCCAAGAAAGAGCTCTGGCGATGACCTTGTTTTTTACTCAATGAGTCTTGTAGATGTGGTCGTTTTCTGAGGCACAACAAGAACTGGAGGAACCCGCTGACGCTCTGCGAAGCCTGTGGAGACGCCATTCTGGGCAGCACCGTTGCAAGGCAGCCGCCGGAGGAGTCACTCGTGCTGCTCGGGCGCAAGCTCGCGGGCATTAACATTGGCTGGCACTCAGCCCTTATGCTGCCATTGAAGCCCCTGTAAACGGCTGCTTGCAGTTGGACAAGTGCCTGTCGCAATGCTGACGGTGCTTGTTTCATGGGTCGTGTTTGAGATGTGTTGCTCTTCCCGCCAAGTATATAGTCATCGCACGTGTAACGGAGTTGTCTCTGCAGAAAAGAAGCCCTCAGTAGTGCTCACTTTCGATTCGCTGAGAGTCTTCGCGAGAGATAGTAGAATGAAGTGAGAAGGCAAGCAGATACCAGGTTGCAAAGCGCTCTCCCGATCAACCCACAGATGCAGTCAGGCATTTTATCAAAGATTTGACAGGAGCGATGCCACGGGAGCGAAAGATGCCGCGCCAGGGAAGTACCTACAACTCCGGGAAATCGGACTAACAAGTGCTCCCGATTTCCAGTAACACCCAGGTGCATGTGTAGAGCAGGAAAGTATAGGGTCCTGCTGCTTATGTTTTTGCCCCTATCTTTCGTCGTCCTAATTTGGCCGCGTCCATTGCCCGTCTCCACTTCCAGTAGTCATACGCTTGTCTCACGACAAGCTCGAGAGCACGCGTGTCACAGTGTAAGCTTCAAGCTTACGACGTTTGCGAATGGCTCAAGAAATGCGCGGCGGGTGCTGGAGTGAGGGTTTAGGAGGAATCCTAAACCCTGAACCTTAAGCCCCAAGCCTTGAACCCTAAACACTGCTGACAACCCAGATAATAAACCCTGATCGTTTTTGAGCCGAAATCTGGAATTGCTTGTGCACACGTTCGCCGAGGCTTTCGACGCCGACTCTGTCATTCGTGGCACGCAACGCAGCGCAAACTGGCCGCGGGTTGTGGCTACTTGCGGCAGCGTGTCACCTTCGATGACATTCAACCTCCTCACGTCGCGTCGCCCGAACTGCTGGAGTTGTTTGCTGGTAATCCTCGAAGCGATACTCGCATTTGTCGCTTGCTTCAGGTACTGAGGAATGACCCTGCGCCGCGCGCAAAAATTTATTGCTTGGCTAAGGCAGCGGACGAAATCAGGGTGGTGTGGCTGCTGCTGTTGCTGCGGTTGTTCTTGAGGTTCCCCTTGGCGGCGCCGTTGTTGCTGCGGTCGTATCTGAGGTTTTCGAGGTAGCCCATGTGAAGGCGCGACTCGAATAGATGATCTTGAAAAAAATGAATGGACCCTAAGCCTTAAACCCTAGACGCCTCAAAAAGGACTTAGGCTGGGGGCGGCGACCGAAGGGCGGCGGCGGCCCTAAGCGCCGTAAAGCAAAGCCTCGTCAACCCTAAGCCATGAAGGAAGCCTTAAACCTAAACCCTATATCTTGTATGTGAATTAAGCCGTTAAGCCGTTAACAGACCCTGAAGGTCCATGCCACTGACACAAAAGAAAGCTCAAGAAGCTACGACAGACCGGATCACGCGAGCTACTCGAATCAGTTGGCTCGTCTGTTTTGCCAAGGTGTTTGACGTTTCTGGAACAAGACACGCGGTTACAAGCGTTCGTGCCCTTGGCGACAAAGCCCAAAACACTGCTATTTACAGCGTTTTTTCTTCTCTATACAACATATTGGGGAACAAGACGCGTTCACATGCACTCATGCCTTTGGCGAAAATGCCACAGCCCTGGTCTTTGCAGCATGTTTGCCTCTCTGTACACAGTTGCGCCTTTTTTGTACAACATAAGCACAAGAACGCTGTGCGCAGTGTTTTCTCTCGAAAACATCGTCGTGTGCATTTCGCGCTCGCGAGCACCGAACCCATGGTGCCTTGTGATTTTGACAATAGTCGAAATGAGTCCCGCGGATGCGACACACAAAAGCCTCGAATTTGTTGCGTTTTCCCGTGTCCGACTGCAACGTCACTCGCGCAAGACACGCGGGTCCGCAATCCTGGACGTTTAGGGTTTAGGGTTTATAACGGGTTTAGGGTTCCGTGCATCCAGGCCTGCAGACCTGAACTACGGTCCAAACACAGGCCCCCTTCTTCGCCGAAGCCCCAAAGAATCTTTGCATCTTCCGACTCAGTGCCTGAAAACATCGACATATTTCCACAAAAGGGGTACCCCTTCAGCCCCCTTAAACGGACCCCCAAAAAGGGTACCCCTATTTTGAGATTTTTATAATGAGAAAACCCCCATCGGTTTCCTCTGCGAGCCCTAGGCCCCAGTGGCCCTGGTGCATCTCGCTAGAATCTTGTTCTGCCGACGCCGTGGAGCCCTAAGGCCTAAACTAAACCCTAAATTTTGAACCCCTCCAAACCTTAAATCCTAAACCCTCTAAACTCTAAATCATATAAACCCGAAACTTAGGGACTGGATAGGTAAAGTTGAACTTTTTTGATTATATAGAACCCTATTGTATGGAAAAGGTTAACCATTTTTGGGCTAGGGTAATCAGCCCCTAAGACAACATCTCAAACAACACCCCTGACCTCAACTTTTCAAACAAACCCTAATCCCTAAACCCTAAATAGTCACCCCTAACCTCGACTTTTAAAACCCGAAGAGTCGGCTTTAGCACTTTCAGGTGCCTCATGTTCGAGGCCTCGCAGGGCTCAGGGCCTAGGGCTTAGGGTTTAGGGTTTGGGGTTTGGGGTTTAGGGTTTAGGGTTTGGGGTTTGGGGTTTAGGGTTAGGAGGTGAGGGTTGAGGGTTTAGGGCTGAGGAAGTTCGAGTTCCTGCAGGGCACCTTGAGGGCCGCAAGCCTCAAAGAACCGACGTGGACCTCACCAAGATTCTAGGGTTTAGGGTTTAGGGTTTAGGGTTTAGGGTTTAGGGTTTAGGGTTAGGGTTTAGGGTTTAGGGCTCAGGGCTTAGGGCTTAGGGTTTAGGGCCTAAGGGTTAAGGGTTTAGGGTTTAGGGTTTGGGTCCACGGCCGACCCTTAAGCCTTAACCTCTCAAGCCCTGTGCTGCCTCAGAGCTCTGAATCCCCAAACCCTGCACCCCTGAACCCTAACCCTAAACCCTTAGGCCCTAAACCCTAAACCCTAAAAACCCTAAACCCTAAACCCCTACTCCTGCCTTTTTTGGCCGCGTACCCCTGGGAGGTTTATTGGCATGTCCTGTTCGGGGAGGAGGATGTTCTACCCTACCGGTCGGAGAACACCGCCTTACAGCTTCTTCCGCAGCACTGAGATGATCCCAAAGGGTGCAGGTGACATAGTTTCGGGCCTAGGGTCTCATACTTCGTGTTTAGGGTTTAGTCTCCAGGGTAGTTTAGGGTTTGGGGTTTAACAATTCGGGCTTGGGGAAGTTTAGGGTTGGGGTTTGCTGAGTAAGTTTCAGGGTTGGGCAAAGAAATCTCGCCACGTTGTGTGGCAGGCACGTCTTATGTGGAAGCTCAAACATTGCGGTGCGTACTTCAACTATCCCACTCTTGGTTTAGGGGCTAGGGTTTAGTTCTTCTGGTGCAAGACCGGCACGGCTATCATCTACGCAACTGTTCATCGCTACTAAGGTTGTTCTTGAGGATCCGCGATCTTGAGAACGAGTCGCAGCTGCTGCGGAATTTAGAGCGAGCAGATGCCGCCGGCTGATCAGGTTATTCTTCAGGTCTCGCGAAGACCCCCAACACACAAAAAGGCCCTGTCCTTCAACCCCTTCCATGCCATCAGGCGGCACATTACTTAAGGAGTGTAATACTGTGGGGCATATTAAGGGTACCCTAAACCCTAAACCCTAAAGACTTTTGAGACATGCCCATGGGTCTTCAGAGGGTCTAACACCTTCAAACCCCTCGAGTCTGCGAAGCTCCTCTTCCCTCAATCTCCCCGAACTCTGGCCCTCAGCCCTTGAACCCTTGCACCCTTTAAAGCCTTAAACCCTCAGCCCCTAAACCCTGAACCCCTAACAAAACTCTAAACCCCTAATTATTTTACCCCCCCCCTTTGACTCCCAGGTATTTGCCGCCGGGCTCCGTCTATCTTCAGCTTTCCTCCGAGCGGACATGAGTGGCAGATGCACACGGGAAAAAAGCGGCCGCAGAACGCATCGTGGGCTTTCTAAAGGGTTTTAGGGCTTTAGGCTTTAGGGTTTAGGGTCCTGCTCTCATACCCCAAAGCCGTAAATGTCGTTTGCGATGACTTTGCCTTCGATTCTGGTATTGTGGAAATACCCCTTAGGGATTAGAGCGTAGGGTTCAGGGTGCTGGACAGGCCCGTAAACCCAAAACCCGATGAATGTCACGAATCAAGTATATAGCAGCCCACACCACGGCCCGAAACTCCAAGGCCCCCGCCCCCTCACAGAACCTCCCAATCCCCAAGACCCTTGCAAACCCCTGAAACCCCCAACGACCCTCCCCCCGCCCAAAAAAAAAAACACACCCCAAACCCCAAAATGCCCCAAAACACGCAAACAACTGCCCTAAACCCTAAACCCTGAGCCCTGAACCCTAACCCTAAACCCCCACGGCGCCAGGTTTAGGGATGGTCGACTCGCAGCAGGAGGCGTCTCTTTTGGGGGGGTCGTACGAGCAGCTCCAAGGGAGCTGTTGCTTTGAGCCTCCCAAGAGTCCTCATAAACCCTAAGCCCTGTCTAGGGTTCGGGTTTAGGGTTTCGGGTTTAGGGTTTAGGGTTCAGGGTTTGCGGGTTTGGGGTTTAGGGCTTGGGGTTTTGGGACCGACCCTATGAGACCTACAAACCCGACCCCCCCCCCCCTCAACCCTAAACCCCGAACGACCAAAGCTATGCCTTCAATAGCATTGGCGCGGGGGCTCTTGTTATGATGCCAGGACTGCAGATGATACCACAAGGTCTCACGCACGTCCGTTGGGGCTCAGGCGGTTCAAGGTTTAGGGTGTAGGGATTTAGAGTTTACGCGTACATCTGGTGCCATTTGCGAGGCTTTCAGGGTTTCAGAAAGCAGCACGCAATAAACGCCCCGACACGTTAACGAGTGAGCCCTTCCAAATATCATGGCCTAAACATCATGTGAGACCCTGGAAGCCGTAGTCCCTACAAATCCTCCCTATAAACCCTCTAAACTCCAGAAACCCTATAGACCCCTCCAAACCCTAGGTCGGGTTCGGGGGTCACTGGCTTAGGGCACCTAAAGTCCCCAAAACAGGTTTGGCCCTTCAGGGTTTAGGGGGTTTGGGTTTTCGGGTCTTTTGGGCGTGTGGAGTTTTGGGGTTGGATTTGGGGTTTGGGGCTCCCCGCCCGCTGCCCATCGAAGAGGCCGCCGTCGTCGAAGTCCCGGCGGCCTTCCGCTGTTTGTGTGGTCGACCCTTCCGCCTCTCGAGGCTTCTGGAGAGTGGGGATATTCTAGGACCCCGGAGTGGGCCCTTATTTCCTTATTTTTTGGGGGGTTGGGGTTCCCTTATTTTCCCCTTGTAACCAAAAAGGGTACCCTGTTTATTCCCAGGTTACCCCTGGGTCTCGTATTAGGGATTTTGAGAGGTTTCCATGGTTTAAGGGGTTGGGGGAAGTTCAGAAGGGTTGCGGAGTGAATGGCTTTGATGCCTGTAAGGCACGCAAGGGGAGGGATATCCTAGGGATGCCAGTGCCCTTTTACATCGGCCTGCTTCCCTTCTTAGAGGGGTTTCAATACGCCTTGAGGGTGAGGGTTGCAGGTTTAGGGTTTAGGGTTGCCTAAACCCTGCACGCTAAAACCCACGAGCTCTCAAAACGTTTGTTTTGTGACACCTCCCTACATTGCTAGCCACTGAACCCCTGGAGGCTCCAAGTTCGTGGGCCAAACCCTAGACCCTCCACCCCAAGCCCCAAACCCCAAACCCTAATTCCCAAACCCTAAATCCTAAACCCTAAGCCCTAAGCCCTAAGCCCTAAACCTAAACCCTGTGGGTGTAGGGTTGAGAGTTTAGACTTGGGGTCTGGGGGAGGTCTTGGGAAACAGCTGGCCAGGGTGGAACCTTGGAACCCTCAATTAGGCCCGAAAGCCCGAAGCCTTCAAAGCGATGTGGGGATGCTGAGCGCTTGTTGGTTTGAAGTTGAGGGGATTTAGGCGCTTAGGGTTGTTTAGGGTTTAGGCGGTGAGGGTTTAGGGAGGGTTTAGGGTTTTGGGGTCCATACCCATGCACTATAGCAGCCGAGGAGGGGACGCCCTTCACTTGATGCCATCCTACGCCTGAAGCATCACGAACCCCCCTGGTTGAAGTCGTGGGCTTTGCGATGCACCCACTTTAGGTGGTTTGGGTGACGGGTGTCGCGTTCTAGGGGCGGGGGGTCATAGGGTTTGCCTCAGGGGTTGCAGTAGGGTTTACACCGTCTTGCTCGCACGACCGCCCATTTTTCTGTGCTCCGGCTGGATGCAACAAGCTGCGGATGCAGCGGGTTTGGGTCTTAGGGTGATGCGGCAGGAGGCGTCATGAACGCCCACATCACAAGCCCAACATCAATGCCAGACAAGCGCACATCGGCTACCGAACTCTACAATGAGAACGCACCCTAGCTCGGGCAAGTGCCCGAAAAGGCATTTGCAGTGAAAGCCTCGTCTACACGGAAGGGGATCCTTAATTAGGCTTCCGGGTTTAGGGTTTAGGGTTTAGGGCTTTAGGGTTTAGGGCTTACGGTTTAGGAGTCCTGAAGCGTGCTCGAACGCTGCTGCGTTCTGTGCCCGATTTCGCGCGATGGAGCTGGACTCCCAGTCTTGGATTCGCCTTCTGTTTCACGGGCTGTGTTTAGGGTTTGGGGTTTAGGGTTTAGGGATGAGGGTGTATAGGGTCTAAGTTTAGGGTTTACGGTTTAGGAGCCCTATAGACCCTTCACTTAAGCCCTGATGACTGAGAACAAGCTTGTTGTTGGGCTTTGCGTTTGGGGTTTGGGTTTAGCCGGGGGGGGGGGGGGGAGGGTGTGGCCTCTGGGGTTGAGGGTTACGGTTTAGGGCCCTAGAGCTTTAAAAACCTGAAGGCCCTGACACCCTGAGCCCCCAGACAGACTCCAAAGTCCCTAAACAACAAGATTCCCAATGCCACAAAATCCCTAAACCCCCCTAAACCCTAAACCCTAAACCCTAAACCCTAAACCCCTAAAACCCTGAACCCAAGGATCCCCTACAGCCCCAAAGTCCTCAAACCTTCCAAGAGCACCGCGAAGCTTGTTGGGCTTCAGGATTGGAACTTGTCATCGGCGACGAAGATGTAGCAGAGAAAGCCCGAGTGAACCTCTGAAGCGAACTTTTAGTCTTCCAGTTTATCCTCTCATCCGATTTCCCGACTGTGGGTTTAGTTCAGGGTTTAGGGTTTAGGGTTTAGGGTTTAGGGTTAGGGTATAGGGGTTTTGGGCCTTCATGTGGAAGATAAAGATCCAGGGTTGATTCGCCTCATCATCCCGCGTGATGCTCGCCGCCTCCGCGCGCGTCTGTGCAGCCGCGGCGAGGAGGGCGCCGCCGCCACTGGACCAACTTTCTGGATGAAGGGTTTCTAGGGTTTAGGGTTTAGGGTTTAGGGAAGGGTTGCATTGGGGGGCCTAGCCTCGACCCTAAACCCGAAATCCTTGCTTCGGAACTTTTTGGCCTACTTGCAACAGGATTGTTACAGGTTTAAGGAGGGTTTGCTTCCAGACGAGAGGGGTTGAGAGAGCCTCTTTCGGACGTTTAGGTGCACGAAGAGGACCCAGGAAAGCGTATGTATACATATATGTATATACACATATAGTGCTTCCCCCTAAACCCTAAACCCTAAACCCTAAACCCTAAACCCTAAACCCTAAACCCTAAACCCTAAACCCTAAACCCTAAACCCTTCCGTCGGGTGGAGGGTTCCTTTAGGTTTAGGGTTCAAGGGAGTAGAACGGAAGTATGACAGGGATCCTGACACCCACACCCATGAACACCAAACCCTAAACCCCCGATCCTTAAGCCCCTCGTCCAAAGCCTGTAAAGCCTAAAGCCTAAACCCTAAACCCTAAACCCTAAACCCTAAACCCTAAACCCTAAAGCCCAGGTCTTCTGCACTTCTCCGCCCCGGCGCGGTGTGGTATGGGCAGCGTGGTGTCTGGGCTTGGCAAACAGAGAGACTGGGACCTACGGTTTGCCGGGGTTTAGGGTTTAGGGTTTAGGGTTTAGGGTTTAGGGTTTAGGGTTTAGGGTTTAGGGTTTCGGGTACTGCTACAAGCGTGCAGGTGGGGTGCATTGGGGTGGGATCTTGGAGGCGTTGGTGTCGGGAGTTCTGTCAACTTGTCAGGGGCTTGGGGTGCACAGGATTAAAACAAGACTACAGGGTTTTCGGGTTTAGGGCTTCGGGTTATTGAAGGCGCTTCTGCCATGGTCCGTTCATTGGGGTTTGACTTGTTGATGTTGCTTTCCGGGCATCCCTAAACCCTAAACTTCAAGAATCCCTTCAAGCATACCAGCTCAGTACCCACAGTGTCTGCCTCGTCCAAAAAAAGCGTAAAGGCACAAATCCCTAAAGCCTAAACCCTAAAGCCTAAACCCTAAACCCTAAACCTTATGCGGAGATGTGGCTTCAGGATTTGCCTACAGCGCAGGGGTTCTAGGTCTGGGGCCCTCGGCTTGCACCCATCCTGACTCACGAGCGCTTCATGAGGCCATAAAGTTTAGGTGGGTCTGAAAGCA